ATACGGCGCCTTTGTTTCCCACCTTGACAGCCTTAGAGTACCGAATAATATAGATGAAGCACTTGCCATTCCTGAATGGAGACAAGCAGTAATGGAGGAAATGGCAGCGCTGGAAAAAAATGAAACGTGGGATGTCGTGGATCTACCAAAGGGTAAAAAACCTGAAATGGGTGTTCACCCCTAAATACCTGGCAGATGGAAGTCTTGACAAATACAAGGCGAGACTTGTTGCAAAGGGTTTCTCTCAGGTCTATGGAATGTATTATACAGAAACATTTGCACCAGGAAAAGTTGAACACAATCAGGGTCTTACTATCGTTAGCTGTAAATTTGGATTGGCCATTGCACCAACTAGATGTAAAAAATGCATTCCTCAATGGAGAACTGAAAGAGGAAGTGTATATGAAGATGCCTCCTAGGTTCCCTGGAAAGAGTGCAAAACAAGTCTGTAGACTCAAAAAATCTCTATACAGACTAAAACAGTCCCCGCGCGCGTGGTTTGAACGATTCACTCGAGTCCTAAAGAGACAAGGGTATACCCAAGGGCAAAGTAATCACACTCTATTCTTCAAACATCAGAATAAAAAGATAGCAGTTCTAGCTGTGTATGTGGATGACATTGTCCTTACAGGAGATGATCTAACAGAAATTGATCAAATCAGGAAAGCACTGGCCCGAGAGTTTCAAATCAAGGATCTAGGGAAAATGAAATACTTCCTTGGAATGGAAGTTTCCAGGTCAAGAAAGGGAATTTATATTTCACAGAGGAAGTACATTCTAGATCTCTTGAAAGAGACAAGCATGATGGGGTGTAGACCAAGTGATACCCCCATAAGGGTGGACAAGATAAGTGATGAGAATGACTTGGGAAAGGCTGTAGATACAGGGAGATATCAACGAATGGTGGGAAAACTCATTTATCTTTCACACACTCGACCTGACATAGCCTTTGCAGTTAGTATGGTCAGCCAACACTCCCATGACCCTAAATAGAAGCATCTAAATGAAGTCTATCGAATACTTAGATTAGATATTTGAAGAGCTCTCCTAGCTGGGGCCTCCTTTTTAAAAAATCTGACAAGAAGAATATAGAACTGTTTACAGATGTTGATTGGGCAAGTGACCAAGACGATAGAAGATCCACCTCGGGCTACTGCACCTATGTGTGGGGCAATCTTGTCACATGGAGAAGTAAGAAACAAAGTGTGATGGCTAGAAGCAGTGCAGAAGCTGAGTTTAGAGCTATTGCACTTGGGATATGTGAAGGCATATGGTTGAAGCGAGTCAGAGAACTCAAAATGAGCATGAGTCTACCTATAACATTATATTCAGACAATATGGCAACAATCAATATTTCTCATAACCCGGTTCAACATGACAGAACCAAGCATGTGGAGATAGATAGGCACTTCATAAGAGAAAAGATTGATAAGGGGGTGATCCGATTAGAATACATACCCTCCAGAGAGCAGACTGCAGATGTTCTTACAAAAGGATTGGCTAAAGACAAATTTGAATACTTCATTGGCAAGTTGGACATGTTCAATATTTATGATCCAACTTGAGGGGGAGTGTAGAAATCCCGATATAATAGGAACCCCGATATGTTAGGCAGATCTCTAGGAATTAATTGTAAATAGCATAGAATTTAAACTGTAAATGATTTCCTGATTGTAATCGCATGATTCTCAACCTCACCATTGATGGGTCCAAATTCGGTTTGCTGTATATATGTTGATGTTCAGATTGAATAAAACATACGGAAGAATTGTCTCCCCTATCTCGTCTTCTTCAAATTCAATAAACACAATGTCTTCAAATATAATTTGTTAAATGCGTGTGGCAGCAAAATGCACTTCAAATCCTAAGACAGACACTCATGTTTCACATCTAATTTTTTCCGGCTATAATAACTGCACACGTGTGCTTCTGAAACATAACTTATCCTGCAACTGCAATTATAACTTATCCTGCAACCACAATCAGCTTTTTCTACCTTTTGCTACAACTTAAACAAATATAAAGAATACAAGCAACCTACCTTCCTTCATTTCACATAGCAAGCAAGGTCAACTTATTTTCTAAAATTCTGACATAGGACACAATTTGACACTTTCAATAAAGTGGAAAAAAGGGACTGAATACTGACTTAAATAAATAATGCTTTAGATAAAGATTGCTGACTGCTATGACATATGCCTTTCCCACACGCCTCCTGCACCTTCATGATCCCAAAAACGTGACTAAATTTTAATGAACAGGGTCCATAAATTGTCCATCAACCATCTCGAGACCAAGTTATAATTACAATAGTTATTTTGTGACTATAATCTTCCATTAGACAGCTGAAAAAAATTTAATGCTCAGCCTAAGCACAAAAATTTTAATGGTAGCGTATTGGCACAACTAAAATCAACTTCACACTAAAAACTACTTTCCCATCAACTTTACATACACACCTGTGTGCCTGTTTAAAGAAGTCATAGTTTGAAACAAAAAAAAAAATTAACTTGACACCTTTTACTGAACTTAGATTAGTTTATTGAAAAACTAAGCAAGACATTGAAACAATGATAATCATATCATTGAGAAAATGTAGAATGTAGAAAGAACATCATGCACTGGGGACGCAAAGTATAATATATATAAAATGTGGTTATCACATTTGATAGCAATATTTACACATCTCTATTGATCAAAACCTGTCCCACAAATACATAAAAAAAAGTATACATATGAAACCCCTGAAAATTCGATTAGTCTCCATAAATAATTTTTTTAGAAAAAAAGGAAAACGCCACCACATTTTATTGAATTTGCGGACTAATATCTAAACCTACTAATGCCTCCACATCATTTGAAACATAACCATCACAATTATGAATTTATGGACCACCATAGCTTTGATAGAGTTGGAATGTGTTGGCAAGCCAAGATCTCACCCAAAATTGAGGATCCTTTTGCTGTTAAATTTTAGTGATCGTTGATGTAACTGCATATCAATTGTAAATCTCCAGTCTAGTTGCAAACATATATAAACATGAAATAAGGAACTGGATAATATCATAAATATATATATTAGATAATCAAGAAACACAACAGATATCTCCTCAAAACATGAAGAGAAATGACCAAAAAGCTGATCATAATAGCGTATAAAAGATTCTCCGTCTCTAAAGTTCTTGGAGAAAAGGCTAATTCAACTACCAACCTATTAGCAATGCTCAGCCACTCTCATTCCCCAATGAATGATAATATACTGAAAATTGTGTTTCAATGTACCTCCATGCTTGTGAATGAAAATGGCTCTCAAATCCAGTGTACTTCCACGATCATGGTCGTCTTTTTTGCTATTTTGTTGACGAAGTTTAATTCCACATGAAGGAAGGTTCTGATATAATTAAAACTTAAATTTTGAGAGGGAAAAAAAGAAAAACAAAACAACAAGCAATGCCATAATTAATGTAGATCCATGACCAGTCAGCTCATTTTCATATGAGAATCAAAATACTGTTCTATGAACATTATTTTATGAGTGGAAGTTATGGAGAATGATGAATGAAATGAAAAATTTGCAAAAGTTAATGCAAATGATTGCTTGTCATTCCAATTTATTTACTTGCATTTTTCAAACTTCCTTCACACCATATATGCATCGCACACAGCATTTTAATGAACCATTCAAGTATTGTTGCTTTTTTCTTTTCCTTCCTTAAAATTTTTTTGTTGAAATCAACGGCTTGAGGGTTCCAAAAATCATACCCGATGAGAATCATGAAGCATAAATAGACAAAATGGTGGGAAATATAGGATGAAGAAGAATAAAGTAGAATAAGCACGAAAGAAATGGAAGGGAAAAAAATGCTCATGATAAGAAAAGACCATGGAGAAATCCCACCTTTAAAGCCAAAGTAGTGAAGTTGTAGGTCAGAAATCAATCAACCAAAATGGAGATGAAGTTGAAGACCCCTCTAGTTGATCTCTCGGCCAACAAATAGAAGAAATGAAAACGAAAGAGAAAAACAGATGAGACAAGGAGAGATTACAAATACAAAGGGTGAGAGCAGAGCATCATATATGGGGGAGGAAAAAAAAATTCTCCCTTTACGAGAAGAGCAACAACTTGAGCAAAGAAGAAACTGCTTGAAGCTTCTAGAAGATTCCCCCCGAGGGTCCCTCACCGGCATTGGTGAAGAGAAGAAGAAAATGAGGGGAAAAGGAAACAAATTAATAGAGCTTCAATTTTGAATTTGAACAGGGGAGTAGGTGTAGTAGGCTAAGAAAATGACAGATGAGAACATCCTTCTAAAAAAAAAAAAAACAGTGATGCCGGGAGCTGGCACTGTTTATAAGCTGTTACTGTTCATAGAACAGTATTTTGAGTGAGGAGCCGACATGGATCTGAAAATGAACCGGCTGATCATTGATTTTGATTTATTATTATAGGTTGATTGATTGGTCTAGTCTACATATGATGAAATTGGTTAAACTTAGAACTGGAGACTAAATTTGGCTTAAACAAATTGAAACATCAAATATTGAACAATATAATATCGCAGTCTAAACAAAATTAATTGAATAATATGTTGTGCAAAAGTTAACGGGGGAAGAGCAAGCAATTCATACAAATGACTGAGAACTAAAATGTTACTGCCTAAATAGTTAGAACTGCATGTGGATTCAAAGAATCAAAACTAATTAGAATATGCTTATCAATGTTTGAAAGACGAGTCTTTTCAATAAGTTTTGAAGATTAATCTAACAACAAATCAGTACAGAAAATATTCAGTCCAAAACTCATCCACAAATAGCATTTAAACTTTTATCCAAGACTTCATTCTTCAACACTTCATGCATCCTCCCAGAGAGGATTTTTAAATTGGTTCCATGCTTGTGGCAGGTTGGCTGTACCATAAAAAATGGCAAGAAACATTTTCAATCTCTTAGACCTGATCCTTAGTTCGACAGGAAACTGATATTCCTCAACCACAATTTTGCAGTTAAGAATTCATTAGACATAAAATTTCTGTTTCCATCTCATTTACTTCTGAACCAAACAAGGGTTTAGTTATTGCATCCAGCATGGAATATGTGTCTCTTATTTCAGGGTGACCTATTTCAGGGTGAGATGGGTTGCCAACAAGAAACTCATGGAGAATGCCATTCACCTCAATAGCACTACATCCAGGAAATTTCTTGATTCCCAAGTCTTTCATCTTGTTTCTGACCTTGCTCACATCTTCCCATCTGTCAGCAGAAGCATAAATGTTAGCCAAAAGCGTATGCAAACTGGAATCACTATATTCAATATTTCCCAGTCGTTGAGCAATCCTTTCGCCCATTTCAATATTGCCATAAAATCTGCAGGCACTCAGCAGAGATCCATAAAGTGGAATTATCATCTCATTTTTTTGATCTGGCAACTTCTTAATTAACTCTTCTGCTTCATGTAGCAGTCCAGCTCGACCAAGAAGATCAATGAAACACCCATAGTGTTGCACCTTGGGCTCAATTTGATATGTTCTCTTCATGGAATAAAAGATCTTATGCCCTTCTTCTACCAATCCCCCATGACTGCAAGCACTTAGAACACCAATAAAGGTGATGTCATCAGGTCTAGCCCCAAATTTTTTCATTTCTTGAAAGAGCTCAAGGGCTTTGCTTGTCTTACCATTCAATGCAAGACCACAGACAATAGAAGTCCATGTGGCTGTATCTCTTTCCCTTAACCTATAGAAAATCTCCAAAGATTTCTCTATGCAACCACATTTTGCATACATTTCAATAAGGGCAGTACCAACCACGGCATCCAATGTCACTTTGTTCCCGTCTATGTAACCATGAATCCATTTCCCTTGCTCCAGGGCTCCCAACTGAGCACAACCTGTAAGGAGAGTAACAACAATAAATTTATCTGGTTTGATTCTTCTCATTTGCATCTCTTGAAATAATGCAACTGCCTCATCAAAGCAATTGAATTGCACATAGCCATTAATCATAGTTGTCCAAAGAACAATATCCCTCGTTGGACTTTTCTCAAACAAATCTCGAGCTTCATCCAGCTGACCACAAGTCACATACCCATTTATCATACTTGTCCAACAAATCACATTTTTCATAGGCACCTCATCAAAAATTTCCTGAGCTATACTTACGCAGCCACACTTGCAGTACATGTCCACTAATGCATTGCCCACTATAGTTGTTAAAAGGAATTCACTCAAGACATAACTGTGAATTTCCTTACCAAGATCCAAATCTTTTAATGCTGTACAGGCTGAAAGAGTGCTTACCACCGTAGCTTCATCAGGCTTCTCATTGCTTTCTTCTAGCATCCGCTGAAAAATAGTAATGGCATCTTTGAATCTCCTACACTTTACATAACTTGTAATCATGATATTCCAAGAAACCTTATCTTTCTCTGACATATTTTCAAATAACTTTTCAAAACTATCTACTTTACCCAATTCTGCATACATTCTCATTAGTGAGTTACAAACATAAGTATCAAGCTCAAGCCCGGTCTTCACTATGAAGCCATGAACCTTCACAGCTTCATTAAACTGTCCAATACAACCAATAGCCTTAAGGACAAATGGATATGTATAATTATCTGGCCATAAACCATCTTTTCTCAGTTGACTAAATAAGGAAATGGCTTCTCTGAAACTACTCTTTTCCACAAAGGCTTTGGTCATAAGATTGTATATAAACAAGGATGGCTTATGAAGGTAGTTAAAGGTTCTACATGCATAGTGTAAGTCCCCAACAGATGAGTCAGTACAGATGACCATAAGTTTGCCGAGGGTGTCCAAGTCTTCATGTAGACCCGCAAGAAACATCTGAGCCTGGATTTGCTTGAGGTGGAACATTGATTTGCAAGCTTTGAGAAGGCCAATGCACGCTCTCTTGGTCAGTTTTCCACCATGTGTTGAGGTAGAGAACTTGTGTGACTTAATGAGCAAAAGAAAAGTATGACTGTATACAGGCATTATTGGAAGTTATGCTGAGCAATGCAAATAAATTTGTGAATGACGTGAAATTTTGACCTCGTCCCTTCATTTCAGATCATAGTCTAAACTCTCATGCCCTTCCTTTTGTTTTCTTATTGTTTTCCTCACATGGCATCCTTGAAGTATCATTGATTTTCTTCACAGGCTAACTCTGGGTTACAAAATTTCCAGATGTCATAATCATGAAGAAATAGAAGAAATCCCTAAGGAAAATCAACTCAAAGGTGAAGAAGGACAAAAAACAAATTTGTCAGCTAATATTTCAGCAGAATTTAAGGTGCACACAAAAGAACATTACTTGAACTGAGCAGGACTATGAAATCAGAGCATGTTCAAAGTTCACATGAAATCATCCTTTCCAAGGACTGCTTTCCAACAAATCTACCTAAATCACTGAAAGCAAGATTGAATAATGTTCAAATTCCACCGCCTAAACTCTAGAGCATACCATCAAGTTTTTGTGGTTGCAAGTGTGTATGTGCTTCCCAAGGGAGGGAAGGAAGGAGAGGAGGCATAATAAAATAAACTGTTACATCAATAATTTATATCTCCCTTTACGAAAAAAACCACCAAAACAAAAATATAAAATATATTGATGTAACATATTGCACTACTTAGAAGTTACAATGAATGGAACTATTTCCTCAATAAGAATAAGTAAATTTTCTTTGAGACAGGAAAAGTTCAAAAGTTATAGTGTAAATATTATCAAACTGAACATCATCCTCTAGAGCTCCTTCTTTGGAACTATCAACTCACTTTCCTAGTAGGTGCCAAGTGCTTTTATGCTGAATTTCTCAGTATATGAAAAGAATGGACACCAATTTGTTCCCTTACGTTTGAAGAAATCCTGACCAAAAACCAAAAGAAGAAGAAGAAGAAGAAGAAGAAGAAATCACTTTTTCCATGATGTTTTCTTCTTTCGTTGTACTTCTTTTTTTTCCATAAAAATATATCCAAGTTCGTATTGCATTAATGATGGAAATAATAACAGTCAAAGAAAAAGGGCCAAAAAGAAATATCAATTCCTAAAAACCAATTAACTGAACTGGTTTGGTTGAATGTCATACCCAAAATTGCAGGTCACCAATCATGAAAATACCCTTTATCCCCTATTGTTGATGACCCAGCCCTTCATTGTTTGGAAGTAAGCAAAGCATAAGACCACTTTACAAGAAATGAAGTCCTCATTAGTCACTCACTTGATGCAGCATCCACCACTCCTTGCCTAGGCTAGGACGTTCTACAAAATAAAGGATTAATTTCACTACTTATCCATCCAGTCAACGCCTTTCTATGCAAATAGAGTACACTTAATCATGAAAAGCGGCTGAGTTTCTTAGTCCCATGATTTTATTAAAGGATATCTAGTGTTTATATAGACATAATTGAGGCCACAAGAATGCCCCCAACAAAGGTAACTAGGTTAAAATCTATCTAAGTCCCTTAAAGGATAAAATAAAATAAATTAAAAACAAATCTGACTTGATAAGGATAAACTAAAGAGATAAAATACTAATAAACAGAATAATAAGTAAATAATAAATAACATGGGACATGCCATTCAACAGTTACAGTGCTAATCAAATAACTCACGTCCCAAGTTTCTAATTTGAAGAACAAAGAAAAGGGGAAAAAATCAAGGAGCTCCAATTATAAGGGGAGGGATGTGCAAACAGGACACAGATGGGCAATATAAAATCCAACATACTCCATTTCGAAAACACAACACAACAAAGCGGCAGCCTCACTTTCAGGAATGAAGAGGAAAAAATATACAAAAGCACAACTATTTCCTACAAAATCATGGAACATTAACTCAAAACAGTACATACATTAACCGCAAATATGCATGAGAGATGTAATCAGGACTGACATGGCTTGATATAAAAATCTAGCTGCACAAAGAATTCTCCAAAAGCTTCAGAAAGATCTTTCTATTCACCAGGAGAACCTATCTTAAAATATCAATTTTCATATTTCTATATCAATATAAGTCCGTCATTCTAACAAAATATTAGCCTCATCCTCTTTATCATTTTTCTGATTAGTTTATTCTTAACATTCGTGATTCAACATCTTCTACACAAAGTATAAGAATGCACATAGTATGCACATAGATACACCATTATCACACACAATGACATAATTACTGCACACACATGCAGTATATGTACTCTAGCAGTTACAACCAATGAGGCCCAATTGCATATTTATGCTACCCCTGTATAGCAGTGAGAAGGTCAGAGAGGGCCAGAGAATATCAAATATATATAGTCAAACAACAAAGACACAGCGCATTCTTCATATTAGAATTAGCAGCACCAAATAGGCAAATTTATCATCCAATGAGCTTCCAAGAATCAGAAAGAACCACTATGCAGAACCAAATGGAGCATAAACTTGAATCAGAAATCCCTACTCATTTAGAATCTTTCAGGCTTTCACATTAGCATTACCAGCACCTAATATTCACAAAATTCATAGTCATTCACAAGAGATATTTCAGCTAGCAGAACATTAATCGGAAATCATGCATAATAGGATTCAAGAATGATGAATTATCGTTCAGATGAAAAACAAGAGGAGTACCGCTAGAAAGAACAAGAGCAGCGAGCAGCAGCAAAACAAACATATTTTAGATGAAAATCAAAGACTAAAAAGAAACGGATTAAACAGAAATACTATACAATTTAAAACAAAACAAAAAAACAGAGAGAGAGATTGTGAGAAGAATAGTATCAATGGAGCAACGAATTAAAAGAGGACTAGAGACCAGAAAACCACGACGGAGCAATTAAGCAACCCCCGACTACGGACAACGATAGAGGCCACCGCAAAAGGGCTGAAGACAGAGAAGGAACAACGGAGAACGACGATGACGAAAGTCTCCCACGTTAACCCCTCGCAGTCCGGGCGTATCTTTTCGCCGTTTACCCCATGCGTAATGCGTCCGCTGCTGTCCACTGCCCCTCCGTCCTTGTTATTTTATTTATTTATTTATTTATTTTTTGCCCTTTGCAGGGAAAAAAAAGGGGGGGTTTTCTTAGATAATTGGTTTTATTATTTTCTGAAAATAAAAAGGAAAATTTCCAAAAAAATTACTGTTGAATTTAAAAATTCTCAAACGGCCACCTCAATAAACAAAATTTCAGTTTAGGAGTAGCGTGCCAAATTGAAATTTTTAAATTTGCTAAAATGACTATATTATCTTTTTTCCCCCAAAAAAAAAAACCATTAATCACTTTCACAAGCCAGCTAGTTGCCGGAACTCTAGCATCAACAGCCACTACTAGAGTTTAATGGGTTGCCGATCATTAAAGCTCTAACGGCTAGTTGACAATTAGTCACTAGAGTTTTGGGAATTTTTATCAAGTCTAGTAACGTGATTAATAAGTTCTTTGATGTTATTAACAAGTTTGGTATCGCCATTAACAACATGTTTTCTAGGAAATTTAAAAAAATAACATTTCAAAAGTAGCATTTTCACAACTCAAGTAACACGATTAAAAAGTTATATAACGATATTAACAACTTTCATAATGCTATTAACCACGTGATCTAAGAACTTTTCACCGAAGCTCTGGCAGCAACCATTTTTTTTATAGATTTGTTTAAGTCGAGTAATGCGATTAATAAGTTCTTTAACGTTATTAACAAGTTTAGTATTGCCGTTAATAATAGGTTTTCTAGGAGATTTAAAAAGTGGCATTTTTTCAACTTAAATAACACAGCTAACAAGTCATGTAATAATATTAACAACTATTATAATGCCATTAATCATGTAGGGGGTGTTTAGGAAGCCCAATAAGCACTTTTCTGCAAATCAAGGCAAACTCTTCCACATATTTACTTTGTATACTACAAAAGTACTTTTAAAACTATGGTTTTGATCTTACCCAAGTACTCCCTTGATCTGAAATCCTTTTACACTTTAAGAAATTAGCAATGACATCATAAATGGGCAAATTTTCAAGTCCAATAACGCCATCAACAAGTTTTTTAATGTTGTTAATAAGTTTGATATAGTCGTTAATAATAAGCTTTCCAAGAAATTTAAAAAGTATTACTTTTACAATTTTAGCAATGTCGTTAACAAGTTATATAATGATATTAACAATTGTCGTAATGCTATTAAAAAATTTCCTTATGAAGGTTGATATTTTTAAGGGAAAATTACACACAGGTCTCACAGCAGACAATTAATTATGAAAAAGTCCCTGAAACTCCCCAAATGCTTCCTAAGTCCCCAGGGACCTTGGGAAAATTAACTTCAATTATGATATTACCTACTTATCCCTGTTAATTTAAGTGTGAACAATTTGTCCACCTTAAACCCTAGGGACCACCTTCTTCACGTTTCCAGCTTTCCGTTACAACACAGGTAGCTTCATATCTATCGGCAGCGAGCTTCACATCCATCGGCAACCAGCTTCACTCACATCATTGACGACCTTCATACCCCATCATCGACGACCTTCACACCCCACTGCTAGTGAGCCTCGTGGGTTCCATCATCAATGAGCTTCGCACCTAACCGCCAGCGATCATCTCTCTCTCTTGGTATATCATATTGATATTATCTATTACTGGTATATTTAGGTAAGTTGCTTCTCAGTTTCAAAGCAGTAGTTGTTAGCTCAGATGGTATCTTGTTACAATTGAGGCCTGAGGATCCTGACCCATGGAAATGGAGAGGAGTGAAATGCGATCCTAAATCCAAGAGTTATCACTCTAATGAGTTTCCATGATGACTTTTCTTGCTAAGTTCATATTATATTAGTAAATGATTCTCAGATTTGAGGTGCGTTACGGTAGACAAATTTTTCTTAATCTTATATCTAATTTTACTTTCATTAGTGATATTTGAGGAGTTTAGCTTGCCATAAGTTGAGCAGATCTATACCACCTGACCTTGAGAGGCTAAAGCATTTAACTGTTCTATATGTACTTTTGATTATGTATAATTTTTCCGAGACATTTGATTCTGGTGCTTTACTGCTTGCTGTTGGATATGATTTAATCATAATCTGTGTATGTTGTAGTGCCCTTCACAACAACAATTTCTATGGGGTAATTCCATCTGAATTGGGAAATTGTATTGACTTGCAGAGAATGTATGTATCTTATTTTGTTCCTTTTCCACATCAATTCTCTTACTTGGGAAATTATATATAATTATCTTAGTAGGTGAAGAAATTATGCTAAAGTGATTTAACATCATAACTAAGCACGCAATCCTTGATGATATAGCTAAACATGTTTTCCTATACAATACACAAAATATGAGGGATGAGCCATGTTATTCATGACTTTTGATTAGTGTAGCTTGATAGAGATTTTATATCAATATTTTGATATATTGATTTTACACCGACATTTGCCATAGTATTTTTTCTGTTGGCCTTCTATAGAACTTGACTTTTTAGAAATCAAGTTAATAGGAAATATTAGGTTTTTGTATTGGTTTTGATTGATTCCTATCGAGAATAATTTGAATCTTTCTTGTACAGATTCTTGTAGGGCAATTACCTAAGTGGAGCGATTCCAAATGAACTAGGAAACCTATCACAACTCAAAAGTTTGTGAGTGTAGTATTTTAGTATAGTTTCTGGTTCATTTCATCCAATTTTGTTGTTATAAGGATGGACAAATCACATTCATTCATTATATTCCTGTATTTTCTAAGGATATATCAAGTAACTCCCTCAGTGGTAATATACCTCCATCACTTAGGAAACTGTATAATCTTAAAAATTTGTAAGATGCCTTGGTTTTCTTTGTTTTCTTTTTTTGTTTTTCACTTTGCTCTTTTTTATTTATATGTTTTGTAGATTTTACTATCAAAGCAAAATTGAATGTTCTTATTGTTGTGGTAATGGTTGATGCTTTAAACCTTCAAGTAATGTTTCAACCAATTTTTGGTCGACCAATACCTTGTGATGGTGGCAACATTACTAAATGCACATGTTAGTCATTTAAAAATAACCAAACTCATTTGTACTTAATGCTTTTATCAAGAGATGCCAAAATTAGTAACTTGTAACCAGATTGTTATTTTTAAGGGTTGATTTACGTATTTTCTAATTTCAAGGACTAAAGTTGATTAAACTGCTAGTATGGGACCATGTTATTAATGTACTCTAACATAAGCCAAGGATTGATTTACTTTATCATTCCAAAAACA